AGCACCTCATAATGTCGTTCAAAGTTTTTGACAAGATAATTTCTCAGATGCTGTCGTATTAAAATGATATTATGATAATCACCGCTCACACTTCATAACTCGAGACGCGAGTGAGCTCGGGATCCAAACTCAATGTAAAACGATTTTCATCGCGTTAAACTGTGCGGTGAGATTAGCCGAGCTGTGTAATTTTACAGATGTATTTCCGCTCACCGAATCTCCAGCGGCGCATTATTCCGCGTAACGACGGGAAAAACAGGAACGGAAAGATCGATCGGTCGCCCTTTCGGTGCTTGCCCCTTCTCTTCCCGCTACGCCTTTGTATTTCTTTTACGCCCCATAAATTCGCGGCAGCCGAAATCGGTACTTTGTTATCGCGATCCCATTTCAGTTACCGTACACACACCGTTGCAACTTCATTGCGCAAAAAAAATCGCGCAATAACTGGGTTAGCCAACTTTTCTTCCTCTTCACCCCGAGTACAAATCCCGAGTTAAGCGCCACGCCGCGCCGCAAGTTTCTCGCGGAATTCGAGGCATTGACTAATTGTACCGCGCGGATATTAAATTCCTCCGGAAAAATTATGACGTTGAGCGTCGAAGCGATCGTCGATTGGCTTCTGGTAACGCTCGCGATATACGAATAAAAGGATACCAAAAGAAATTCAATCGAGTTGTATGGCTTAATGGCTGATTGTCTTGAATAATTTGAAATTTCTTTTTGTCGTTTTACTCGCGAATATATATATATATATATTCGAACGTACTTCGTATACTTCAGCTTTGTACCGTACTGACAAAATTTGCTCGCGGCTTTCAATTTGCCGTTATCTCTGTATACCGTGCTTAACTCCTAGGCCGAAGCTCAGATTGAGTTTCACTCCCCCGGTTTCTGCTACCCATGAGCTTACAGCCTATCTTCTTTATCTCCTTTTACCTTCCTGCCATCCTTCGATATTCCATCTCCCCCAATTCAATATTCATCAGCTTTTATCAACTCATTCGGTAATTTCACCGTTAGATTGGTCGAATGTATATCTTTCCGCTGCTTCACGTCATATTTTACGGTATAATTTATTAGGTCTCGTTTTTTTTTTAGGTGAGGAACTGTGGATTGGCGTAATAAAACCTCGGCCCCAGGAGTGGCCCGGGGGTTACCCTGGGGACCTTGGGAAAGCGATCGCGCGAAGACGAAGTGGCTGAGACCGACGAAGGACACGGGAGGCGGAGGAGGAGGCCGCTATGAACGCCAGCGTTAACATCGAGAGGAACTCCTGGCGGCTGCCTCCCGATGAGACCGTCCAGGTCGCCGATCCCCGTTCAAAGTCAACCCAGGTAAAAGAGGTAAATCGCTCAGCCGACTCACCAAGTGATCCCTATCCTAATCGAGTATTTCTCGTGGATTACATGATCAGATTTAAATGCATGTAGGTGTACAATCGATGGAAGATACAACGGCGGTACAGTACCGGTTATTAATTCGCAAACAAAAAATCGAGCTTACGAGAAATCAAGCTTACGATAAAGAAGCGAATTAATAATCCATATTGTATGATAACGTTTGCGGTTTGAGATTGGAAAACGTAGAAAAATGTACTAGGTTGATGTTAGTGATTGGTCAGTGTACTGGACTGTTTAGTATAGACATATATCATAATAGATCTGTGAATGCATAAAATCAATTAATCTTGTTAGTCTCTCTTTTATAACTATCATCTTTCAAATAGCTAAATGAGATAGTCCCATCTACACGTCTTTCAATTAATAATTATCTAATATAGAAGCATAGTAGATATAAAAGTTATATATGTTGCACTATTCTTTTCTCTAATAACTTTCCTATACTATAGAAACTTCAGAGTAATGTTCGATATAGTGATGGGCTCGAGATAAATCAAATCGCTTCGAAAATACATCAAATATTTTGAATATTATTCGAAATAAAATCTTTAAAATTTTGAATATCTTAAAAAAATATATATATATATATTTACATACATATGTTTTTTCTGTCATAGTAATTTATATTATTATCTTAACTCATCGCATTTTTCTATATACAGTTATATATAAAAATTTTATTTTTAAAAATTTTAAGCGTTTTAGATATTCGAGCGTTTCTAAGGAAAGATTTCCAAGACTTTTCAGCGTTTTAAGACATTCGAAACTTTCAGAGCTTTTCAAGAACTTGTAGTTTCAAATGGTACTCGAAGCAATTTAAATCTTCACATGCGACTGAGTTATTTCTAAATTTTTGGAAAAAAGGATTCGTACGCCCGTCATTAATTGATGTTAAATCGTCATGACTTGTATGTATGTTGCATTTTGTATATCGTCCTACATAGACGATAATATTAGGTTTGAATGTCGGATACGGCGATTAAATCCCTCGTGAACGCACGTGCTCGCAAAGTGGTAGAATTACTTGCGTTAAGTGTCGATAGCAGTGACCACTCAGAGTAATACATTTAAATTGCGTAGTTACGTCGCGTATAAACTATGAATATAACTCGGTGTAACGAATATCGTTCCCGATGCGGTAATTAACACAACAAACTATCGCGAATAAACATTAGATATTCGTGTTGCACAATTTTTGTAAATAGTCAATTCTCTCACAAAAGGCCTGGCCTTTCCACAAGACATCGTAGATCAGGTAGAAAAATCGTTGAAATTTCGATAAAGCTGGTATGGAAGCTGTTTGCTTAGCCTTTCTACAAAAGGGCTAAATTTACAATTATTCTACGACATTTCTACAACGTTTGGCCACCGATCGATATCTCAACTTTAAATTGATGCCCACGTTGACAAAGGTGTCAATTACGCTCGCTACCTGTCCAGCGACGGAATAGGAAAGAACATTCTTGGCGAGCGTTTAAATAAACGGCTAACGTCTCATTAACTCGAGTCAACGTTCTCTCGAACGTGTGTAAAAACAGGCCGTGGAATAACGCGTGTAAGTCCATATAAACTCAGATAGGCCGCGGAATAACGTGATAATTAATTGTGGCCATCAATCGAGCCGTTATGTTACGAGGGAAGTGATAATAGAGTCACATATATTCATACGTGACAAAAGACTCCGGTTTATAAAGCTGAACAATTCGCACGCGTGTCTTCTCGAGGCATGCCGTCTTATTACGTGAAACGGCTTTTTCATCCGGCAGACGGCTCTTTCGTTCTGGTTTATGAGCACTTGCAAGTCCACGGAAAGTGTTACTAAAGTTCCGTCCGCCGTTTATCCGCAACGCCCTCCTCCGTCTCCGCGTTTCCACGGGAAGTAGTTTAATTATATTTAAATTAACCGGCCGTCCGGAACAAAGACTCCGATCCGACGACGTCCTTTATATTTTCGCGAAAATCGCGTTCGTATCAAGTAGCAAAATGTATACTGCGATAGCCGCTTTTATTATGCTTTTATTATCGCCCGCGCGTGTTCCTTCAATTATAATCGAAATCACTTCTGCGCTTTACTCGTGTTCAATCAGAGACGCTCTGAAAAATTAGCTGTTTATCTCGTATCCTTTCTATTTAGCCATTAGTGAAAATTTCGACCGAGCGAATTCTCATAAGAGATACATGTTTTATTATACAACGACTGCTCGTTAACGACCGCTGTCGCCCTTATCGCGTCGATCTATTAGCAGAACTATTAGTGAGATTCCACGAACCGTGTCTGCTTGTCTTTTGCTCACCTTTGACTTTTACTGGTTTCTGACTCTGCGAGTCGATTGAAGGGAATAAGAAAACCGTCACAAGTATCTTAAACAACTTACACGGTTTGTCCTTTGACGATCGAGAATTCGAATCCACAAGCTTTCATCGAAAAGAGCTATAAATAATTCATACTTAACACTGTTCAAAGATTTCTCGCAAAGTTCAAAGGATTGCGACGAAATTAAACTGTCCGCGATACAAAAGCTTCGTAATTGATAAACCAATGGGAAATTCATCAACGTCGATTAACTCGACTAACCAGATTCAGCTAGTCGACTTTTCAACAATTTTTTAATAGCACGCCGCATGTCTCGGGTAATCGATCAGTCTGCCGCACCTCTCATTGGTATGCGATTTTCGTGTGTGCGGTGTCCAGTCGATAGTTCCGAGCGTAAACAAATTTATCACTCGCCGCGTCGGCGGACAGAAAATAGGAAGGGATGAGAACCACAAGGAACAAGGCGCACGCAGCAGCGTGGTAGAGGGATTCCGACGACAGAATCGGGGAAACTTCTGTTAGCCGGCGCACACACAGACCTAAAGTAATTCAATTATCGGACTACCTGACGAGACCGACGGATGGCGGGGGTTGATGTTTAGAAGAACGGAAAATCGAGGCGCGCGTTGTGCGGTGGCTACATACGTTTCGCCCTCCTCGATATGCACACGTGCAAGCACACGCACGTGCCCCAAACCCACGCGCACGCAAACACAATACGCCCCGGCAAACCCATACACGTTCGGCAAAGCCGCCGCCACAAAACCAACAAACGCCGTTGGTTTTACTCGTTGCCGTTCCGGTGGCCGCCGGTGTCCGATTCGCGCACGCGACATCGGTGTCCTCGGAGTCACCTACGGGATCCTCGGAAAATTTCCAACAAAGGGTTAAAATGTCACTCGAAACTCGGAGCACGCGCTGACTTTATCCGCCGACAACTGAAACACATCGCGATCGATAGCGGTGTATTCATCACTTCTGCAGTACGTATATAGGACGTTAATACGAGCTCTTCCACAGTTGGAATCAGATCAAGCAAATAGCGCGAACACGAATGAATAAACGCCTGCTTTAATGAGTGTGGATGGCAAAAACGAGCACGTTCGTCCATGCGTAAATGTTCGTTCGTTCTTGCTAGCTTGGTCCTGGATCCACTTTAACGTGATGCCCCGATGTAGATCTCTATCAACGTGTATTCGTTCCGAAGAAACGGCGATAAATTTTCAGGCGGAGCGAAAACGAGCGAAATAACGGTTTAATCAGCCAGCGTACGCTTGGCATCCCTAGCTTTAATTTGAACGGACGCGCGATGCGGAAAATCATTACAAACCTCTCGTGGAGGAACTGCGCGCCGCGTTGGAACTGGCTGCAGTTTCGCAAGTTCAGCGCGCACCATTTCCCGGACTTGTTGTTGTATCACGACCGGCACGTAGAGAAATCCTCGGGGTTTGCGTTTGACTTCCGACGTCGCGGTTCCCATTTCTCGGAGCGCGGCCGCATCCTAAAATCGCTTCGTCCCCACATTTGTCATCTCATCACGTCGAAAACTCTCGCGGAATTTTGTTTCCAATCAGGTACACGCGCTTGGGAATTAATGCCTGTCGCGTACGATTTTCGAGACGGGTCCTTTTATCCCGTCTCCTACGCGAAATCGCGAAGAAAAAAGCTCCGCCGTGGCCCGACAGAGAAAATTTTGCCGCGTTAAAAGCAGTCAAACGCGTTATCGGCGCGGCTTGCTTACGCTCGATTATCGGCCCTTTTGCACGACTGATCTCGTGACCCCGAGAGGATCGTACATGAAGCGGCCTCGCGTACGTGTGCACATGTGTCACCCCTTTGAACTTCCTGTCCGAGTACGGCAAAAAGAGCAGAACGCCGCGCCGGCCGGGAGAGATAGAGGCGTTTCTCCGCCCTCAAGAAAATCACGTCCACGAAGCGTGGCACACACGGTTAGTCGGGCGCCGATAGTTCCGGAGAACGGACCAACTGTCGGACGACGAAGAGCGCATAAACCAGAGATCGATCTGCGGAATTATGTTCGTGCGGACACCGCGCGTTATCGCTCGATCGTTTTCGCGGGGCGCGGATCGATCGCGAGTAATTTCAGTCGTCGACGATCGGCCGCGCGATATTTTGACACGTGGCGTAATGACGCGTATGCATATGCGCGCGTGTTTACCATTTTAAATGTATACAGATATACGTGTAGGTGGATATAGAGGAAGAGGACAGAGAGGGAGAGTCGGAAGGTGGGCGGCGGATAGGCTGAAATACTTGGCTGAAACGCGCTCGGCAGTCAGGCCGGCGCATCTGTGCCTCTTGAACGGATGAATTAATTATTGGTGTCGGGTGAAACGGTGACTTGTGCCGCACCATTGAGCCCAAAATAACGACGATGGTGCGCAGTGCCGATGATTATTCGTGACGAAACAAACGGACTTTTTGTCTTCGCGAACGACACGGGAAGGAGCAGCCATGACCACTTCCAGTCTCTCGGAAGATAAGCTATAACAGCCTTATCACTTTTACAATCCAGATTTCGCTTGACGATCCAGATAGCGGATAAGTTCAACGTGCAATTTACCCGAACATTACGGCTGGCTGTGCTTATCGCAGCCGTGTCGTAATCGGGGCGGATCTCTGTAAAGCAATCGCTTTACGGGAGTAAAACGATAGCTTCGGTTTTAAAGGGCATTTAAAAGATAGGCGCCCGAGTGCGTCGTAAATAACTTCCGCCAGAACAGTAGACTTAAACGCACGTAAATGCAGAGCACTGCCGCGTAAAGGCACTGTGCGCCGTTGGGTTTGGCGCCGACAGGTGCCTCGGATTCTCACGATGCAGCGACGTGCCGTAGCCCAATTTTCTCGCTTCCGCGATCGCGTTTCGTAATAACTGTATTGTTACGCGCCAACCTATTGCCGTGAGATTTCCAACGGCCGAACTCCGTACCAGTTTATCGATTATTAACGTCCTCGCGGTAACACAACGAATTCTCTCAATCGTGGCTCAACGCAGATTCGTTCGATATAGCGCAAAGCAATTTTACATGAAATTGCACAGTGCCGTATTGGCCTGTACGGTCCACAATTGGAAACGGTAGCGAATCGCGAAACGGTAGCCGACGACAGTATCGTGTGGCATTATTGGAGCTGTAATAACGATCGCCTTCCGTGACCGTGTACTTAGCTATCCGATGACAAAGCAGCGAATTCGAAACGAGAAAACCGCACCGTGTATCAAAAATTTAATTTAAAATTTTTAGAAACGCCTCAGTTCGGCGTAATTAGTCATAGGGATAAATATTGGAAGCAAATATTGAAAGAAACTACACCGTTTTATCGTCGGCGATAAATTTTGTCATTACCATTGGCAAAGAAGCAAACATTATTGTTCGATTACGTGAGAGTTCTGCACGTTGATATATGATGTATTAAACTTTACTGTCGATTTTCTTGTATCGAGCATTACCTATATACTCTTAAAAATATATACTTTTATATATTTTTGTACCTCACGAACAATATGTCAGGAAAAAACGTGGCGATCGACGGCTCTATCGTTAAAATTTCATACAGCGAAAACGAATGAACTTGCTCTTGTCAGCGACGTTCTCTTCGCGCTTCGTAAACTGACGAAAATAAGCTAAACGCAGCGTGACCGAGAACACATGCAGCAATGAATGCAATGTGCCGATGCATCCGTGTACTTGACAACCTTATCTATCATGCCATTACAGTTCACTGCACGCCATAGTGGGATACCCGAAAACCGTCATGTCGAATTACGGCACGATCGCTGTAGATATTTCCTTTGAATTAATCCCTATTGTACTCGGCGGGGTCGATGTGCATAAGCCCAGGTATATTTCGTCTAACAAACTATTATGTCTCTTGAATACTTGTTGGATGAACTCATCGCGCCAGTGACAGAATACGAATTAATCTGTAAAATTGCATTATTATTATTATTATTATTATTATTATTATTATCATAACGAGCGCCACCCGGCTTATCTAATATTCCAATAAAATTTAATTTATTTAATGCTTGTCGGAAGCGGTATTTTTTTACGAGAACAGTATATGTAAAGGTAGAACATCGCTTGCGATAAGTTTTGCAAAAAATTTTAATGAACCGACTGCCTCGCAACGTTTGGCCGTTCGCCAGTTGGCTATGAAACACAGCCGCGAGCGATTAAAACGGAAAAAATAAACAGTAAAACAGTTGGGAAAAATATTGAAAGTTTCCTTCAGCGTAAGTATCTAAAAACTGTTCCCTGTCGGAGCTCAACTGACAATCGACAAAGATTTTATTCAAACATGTGTATTTGTTCCTGGTGCGACGTCGCACAGGAGTCAGGCGCGTATTTACGCGACAGCACGGTAGTATATTTAAAAGCGGTAATATCGCATCACATCTGAACTGCTTTCTATTTTTTCGTAACGCAACGCGTCACACAAACGAATGTCTGCAGCAAACAGGTCTCTTATCTCTCTCTTTTAATTAAACATTTACTGCACTGAAAAAGATTAATTTTCTTTAACTACATCTATTTAAAATTAATGTGTCAAATCTCGAGAAGAGTGAAATAAATGCAGCTGAAACAGATAAAAATTAAATTTTGATATATCAAACAAAATTTGGCGGCTAATATCGAATAATTTTTCTCTTTATGTAATTTTAATTTTCTGCAACCATTTGTTTTGTGAAAAAAATTGTTATATATCTTTATTTTAGTTATAATTCTTTTCTGTCGCAAGATTTTTCAATTTTCGTACAATATAATAAAGTCAACTGTAAGAAAAATAAAGTACAAAATCAATAAACGTTAGCACCATACGCGAGCGGCATCGTATATTATTTAATTCGATATATAAGTCGCTTCTCATAAATGAAAGCAAAGATGACCAAGCAAATATCATTGCTCGGTAAAAGAATAAAAAAAATTAAGAACCAGCAGTGTCATATTAACACTCAATATCATGTAACATACAATATCGTTTATCATCCAAAACTATCTCGACTTTCTGACCTTCGACGTGATTATGTCATACTCACGCGTGCATGTATACTATGTATGTATGTTTGCTATATGTATGTATGTACATAAAGATTGTTAACACATTCGTACGTACAATAAGCAATTTATAGCTCGAGCTATATGCTCTGATTTCACACCGCGGAATAATATTTGATGTACGAAACTTGCACGCGGGTGATAAAAATTGAATGCTCTATCTCCACCGTTCGCGTTATTGCCGTATAAGGCAGCGGGAATCTTCGCGAAATAATGTCTGCATCGTGCAACACTTCGCAATGTAGATATCAGCTCGCGAAGTCCGATGCTGTCGCGTTGCGCGGCGCGCGGGGGCGAATTTATGGTCACCTCTATATATCTCGTGCCGCACACGTGCACGCGACGCGATGTGTTTTGAATTCAAAGAGGCGGCAAATCGATCGGCGGGGGAGAAGGAAAGAGTGAGCCGGGTGTCGGGGAAGGAAATGGCGAATCGCTCGAACGAGACATCGGCGATTATTTATCCGGATAAACAGGTCGGGTCGTCCAAAAGCGATTACCGCGCGGCATAACGTCGGCCAATCGGCGCGGCACGGTCGATCGTTTGTCTAGTTCGGAGCAACATCATTATCGGCGATATCCGAGATAAAACGGGGGGGGGGATTATTTCGAGGAGATAAATCGTTTCAAACTATATTCCAGGTCGGAATTCTTTGCATCGCTAATGGCGCGTAGATAGAAGGCGCGTCAAGATAGAAAGAGAGAGAAAAATGGTACTCTCTCTTATACGTTTATTTTCTCAATATACCAAGGCTAACGGTTATTTCGAGCAATAGGATGCAGTTATGACGTTTGTGCCGCGCAACTGTAACTGTCTTGTCGCGAACTTTACAAACGTATATAGTAAAATAGTAAATACAAGAAAGGAAAATAAGTATATATCACGCGATACACGGCTGTATCAATTTTTGAATTAAACGACTGTTTATACAGCAAGAATCGATCAGGGAAACTACCTCAACGTGTAATTTAATTATTCGCGTGAAAGACGCGTTTGTCGACGAATCTTTTCCTCGTTAATTCCTTTTAAGAGACAACGTTCGCCCGATCTCCAAATGGATCGAAGATAAATGTCGCTTTTCTCGCGTTTACCTAAAGCGAGAGCAAATTCGCGTGCAGGAACACGTGCGGGGCGGTTCTAACAGGTACATACATAACGATCGGCACATCGTATAGCTCACGCCTCGTACGAAATCCGGTGCGACTCATCTGTATTACATGACCTGCACCGCTTGCACGTGTTATCCGGTCCGGTGCCGGTGGACAGAAGGCCGACTATACAGGCGCCGGACATAACTCGTATGCAATATGCATAACGCAGCCGGTGACGTATTCCATGAGAGCGACCGAAAACCGCGATATTCTTGACGACGCGCGACGGCACGATCGAACGTCGCGACCCCAAAAACGCTTTTATGATCTACGAGAATAAAACCCGTTCTTAAAAACGGCAACACGATATTACCGCAAGAAACGTCTCAACTAGATGAACAATGAGCGAGTTAACTCTTTGACTGATTAACAATGAATCGAGTGGGAGAAGTCGATAGTAGGTCACGTCAAAACGTCGCTACACATTCTCATTATGAAATCATATCGCGATTTTATTGTAAAGAAAAATTCGTCTATAGAAGCATTATCGCGAATTTCAAAATCCGATAAGATCGGACGAATTTCATGCACGAGTAATAAAAGAAGGTCTGATTGAACAAATGATATTCTCTCAAAAGAAATTACGTCGAGTCGAAAAAGAGCCGGAAAAGAGTATGTGGGCTTATGCCGACGAGCGCGCGAAATGGAGTCTTTCTTTCTTTTCAGGCGAATCATCCCGTACAACGGCTTTTTCGGCTTTTAGTTATTTGAGTCGTCCGGCGGTTCGTATATTATTCCGCGCTCTCCATCCGAAAACGATGGTCGAATTATATTTAGATTGATGAAAAATTCAAAGCGCAATAAAATATGAAAGATAGCGTCGTTAAATAATTGTCTCGCCTGTAAATATCGTTTAAAAACAATATACTTCATAATTACCATTTTAGGTCGCTTCGATTCCTTTATTTCAGACAGATAATTCATGGAAAATCTGCTTCTCGATAAATAGCCTCCATACAATTATGAATCGTTATTGCGGAAGATAATTAATCGTCTGAACTGGTAATTGCTAATTGTAATAATCGCAGGAAATGATTGCGCGTTCTGAAGTGTAAGTGCGATAATATGCGAATGGCAGAACGATGACCGTGTACATACGCAACGACAAACTATATGCCGTGCGAAAAACGAGCGCTGAGAGTCGAATGCTACGTGTGAATGAAAATGTCGCTGCTACGAAATATTTAATTTATTCTAAAATAAATGCACACCGCATACCATTTCTCTTGTGCATTTCAAATTAATTTCGATATAAATAAGCTATTGTCGCACATTAAATCCAATTTATTTTAACAATAGAATTTATCTTCTTTTTGATAAAAGAAGAATATTTACGTAAATTAATTTAGTTCCTGTTTCTTTTTCCGAAATTTTATGTCCCGAGTGCAGCAAAATTGTGTAATTTTAACAAATGAAGAAAATAAAATTTTTGCCGCGAGAATGTGTCGCGACACGTTTTTCTTAATATATTAAAAAATCACACATAATTTCCGAGATGTAAAAAATTGTAGAGTATAGTAATAATAATTTAATTTTTATACATATTGTGTGTGTGTGTGTGTGTGTGTGCCATGTGTGTTTGTGTAATTTATCTCGACAATACATTCTTAAAATATTATACAGTGATTGTGACATATCCATAATATAGTATTTTTTTATATATGTATATGTAATATGTATTACATATTCATGATATGCACAGTGAAAATATTCTAGATGTGTAGATACTCTTTAGATACAGAATCTTTAGAGTGATGTTGATCGCTCATTTTCCACACATTGTTATTAAATCTTCCTAATTATCCTCTGAACCTCTCTCTCTCTCTCTCTCTACATTCGTAATCTGCATGTTCTCTTGTATTAATCCGCTTCTGCACTATAACCGATCGATCTGACGGATCAACCGATAATTACGTGTGAGATTATTTTTTTTCACAGGATTTAACGTACGGAGATGGCGGCCACAATTGGCGGAGTATAGTTTTCGCACTATTGGTCATCGGTTTCGTTATCGCTGGCATCGTCACGGCAATTTATCTCCTCGGGTGAGTTCGCGTTACTTGCTGTCTTTCTCTTCCTTTTATTTGAACTTTTAGTAATCTATTCTCCGCAATTCAGATCAGACATATAGTAAAGAGAAAGATGATATAAAATTCTTTTTCGCTAATAATATAAAAAACATTAATCTCATCAAGTGTGTATCTCTTATCAAGGCTAAATAATTTCGATTCATTTGTTATAAATACTTGAAAAAGTTTGTACTTAAATTTGTTTTCTTATTAATTTGATGTGTTTACAGATACGTTGACGAGCTCCTGTACTGGAGTGGCAGGCGTCTTACGTTAGACGAGTGCCTTCGTGATGACCTGACACCGCACAGGTTAACACCGACTTGGATAACCCATGAAAAGTTCGTCTATCAAGCCGACGATGGTTCTCTCACCCTCCTGGACACCCGCCACAACGTCGTGTCCCTTTTAGTCTCTAATCACACGCTTGTACGTATACACATAGTGCATGCCACTGCGCTCTTTGCATTTTGAGTCGTGTAACGATGCCGGTGATATTATATATCGTGGGGTCGTAAATTTTGTGCAAACACAGAGGAGTTATCACGTCGTGCCATGACGATAAATTTCCAATTCGTATATTTGTTCCGAAAAGTTATAAAATTGCGACCTACATTTATTAATTGAATAATCCTGCGCTATATATATTATATATAAAATAAACATCCTAAGGCCGGATTTGTAATATGATTTAAAAATCAGAAGATGAGTTTCTACGGCAATGGCTAAGAATTTTTCTCAATTAAATACTTAAAGATATATAAACTGGATATGATAGGTTAGGTAAATACATTTAAGAAGAAGAAAATAATTGGAATTATTTAAGAGAAAGGGAGAGTTTTATGAATCGAGGTATCAGAAAGAAAGTATATTGTTGCTCTAACGCGACGGTAAGGGATTAGAAGATTAAAGTCACTTTAAGAGATAGAAATTTAAAAGGCGAAGAAACTTGAAACCTTTCCGAGGGACTCGAAATTTATTATTTATTAACAAGCTTGTTAAAAAATCATTAGTACTTAACTTTGGTTGCTTGTATTTCGTTTTGATGCTTTATAAACTTGCAATCTTGATGAAAAGGATGATTTGGACATAAAATATTAAATATCAAATCTATGTTTGTCACCGAATATCTAAATTATTGTAAACGACAAATCAATATATAATCTAAACGTACAAATTTTGGAATCTAAAGAGCGTTAAATTATTCAAATTCATAATTTAATTAACCAACGGCGAGTCGTTATTAATTAGCGTCTTCGACGATAAAACTTCTACGAGATGATTGCACAATTGTTATGCACTTAATTATGCAGAACGCCGTTTTTAAATTATGTAACAATCGCGCGCGCCAAACTCTGTAAGACGTAAAAGATGAAATGGTTGAGTATATATAACTTCGGTCGGTTATGCAAATTTGAAAGTTATAATTAATTTGGACTTTTGAATATGTACCATCTCATGCGTAATTATTATTTCAATCATCGTCAAAATCAAATATTAATAATATTAAATAAATTTTTATTTGAAGAGTTATCGAATATACTGTCTAGTGTAAATATTTATTTAAAGAATCAATTCTGTGTTTATAAAGGTTATTAGTTCGCGTTGTAATAAACAAATCTTGTTCAGAATATCACGCCAAATAAAGTCGGTCGACATACATTGCGAATGGAAATATTCGAGCAAACGAGTTATTGAATTTTTGCAAACGGATGCCAAATTCATTCATGTGACCGGATTCACCGGATAATAACCCTCTGCCGGAACTGAGCCACTCGGCCAAGAGAAGACCGTTATTTCCATCAGATTTCAGCGGAGCCCTAAATCACCAACCACGGCAGGAATATCCGCATTAGTGATGCACCGAGGTATCTTAGCTCCCTTGGTATCTAATCCGCCGATACCGAGCTATTGTCGCGCTTATCCAGAATTAATTGGAGACATGACCCTCGCACTCGCTAGATAATTACGCGCCAACTGCCAGATATATTCCTGCGGAACGTGCAAATGCGAAAATGAAGGAACGCGAAAAGGAATAAATCACAAGAGAGAGAAGTAAATATGTGAGCGCTCTCTCTCTCTCTCTCTCTCTCTCTCTCTCTCTTTGCTTATAGGATTAATAGCGGGGTAGACTTGGGAATTTATAGATTTTTAACTTGTAGGATTCGAAAGTTCTCAGTTAAAGAATAGTTTCTAATTTTAAACCATTTATGATTTAGCAGTTTAGCTTCTTTATTGTTGCGTAAGTGAATAAAGGAAAGAGGCAACAGCCGAACGGAGGTAAATATATATGTACCACTAGGCTGAAGCAAATAATTTTTCCTGTGGAATAGTTAAAAGTTCCCTCGAGAAGTAAGTTCGGAGGACGCAAGCAAAAATACATGTCTACAAGAAAACATGTATTTTTATGCAAAATACTGCTTTTTCAGCTTGTATATTTTCTCCTTTTCGAGCTCTGGGTAAATTTCTAATCGATAAACAGTCAAACGTTCCCGAGCGTTTACTGTATGGAGAAAATTTTTATGTAGAATATGGGGTATAAGCCGAACCCTTTATCGAAGTCAGTTTTGGTCTACCGATTGGCAAACTAGCCGAGTGTGCCTCGCGGCGCGTTGCGAAACAAAGACTAGACCGCGTATAAAATGGAATCCGGAGCATCCCACGGTTTACCCCGGGTGCTGCAAGCACGCGCGGGGTAAATATGAGGTATTCTAGATAGGTACTGCGCGATATTGCGCTTCGGGTTCAACGATACTATCTGTGTCTAGAGGCATTTCGATTACAATAGATACTAGCTCGGAGCGGGAAGAAGCGACGATTAAACGTTCTCGCCTGATAATATCATTTTGGAGAATGTTAACGCGCCAAGTTTCTGATAAAAAAAAATTAACAGAAATGTGGGGAAATTACAGAAAATGAAATATGGAAGATGCTTCCATAGCGGATCCCACATAGGCAATGAGAGAAAAAAAGAGGAACAAGGAGAGAAGCGGCTTATAACGAGACAGAAAGAGTGATCGATCTCGGTAGCGCGATAAGTGTGCGTGCGCAAAAGAGCCGATCCACTTAGTCTGGACAGGTTCCAAATTTGCGTCCTTTTTCCCTCTCGGACCGAAAGGCGACGTTATAGACAAGTGTATACGGCGCATTGATCCGATCTGGCGTCCACCAGGACACGCCGCGTCCGGCTCGTCTCGAAGCTTTTTCGAATACCAAGTATCGACTGCCAGCCACGATATTCGTGTAATATCTATTCGCACGATGCTACCGCGATTTGAGCTTAAACGCGACAAACCCACGACGCTATACCAATCATAAAACCAATTATAATTGCAAACGATAATTGCTAACCTATTAAACTCCAGAAACGAGATATAAAATTACCTTGCGGATTAAAAAAGAAAAAATGAAGCGGAGGCGAACTCGAGTCAGAACGCAGGTGTTCGGACGCGATATATGTTAATAATAAAACAACTTCTCTTTTATGTACATATGAGAACATTTTATCTCTTAATTTAGGTCCGTTCTTCTTCAACATTTAAATCGCGAGTAGAATAAGTTTTGTAAAAACATGAATATTGGATATTAAAAATAAATTTCAAAAAAATTTTAAAAAATTTTCTCTCTTTCTAGATTTAAAAATGACGATTTAAGAAATATATAAACAAAATACTGCGTATATAAAAAATTGTTAACATTATATCAGAATAAAAATGGATTTGATGAAAGTGCCTAAAAGATTGAAAAAGATATTTTTTGCGACAAGATAAAAGTGTTTCGTAAAGCTTTTAACAGCAAGACAATTGGCTCTCGAATTTAATAGTAATATTAAGAGCGGATTCTACTCGGAATTGCACAGAAAGTAATGTAATCTTTATTAAATATTTCTTTCAGAGACAACTAAACGTTCAGGGCTACGAGTGCAGCGCCGATCTACGTTACGTATTGTTCAGGCACAATGTCAAGCCGGTAAGTAGCTTAAACGTGGAAGTCTCTCAGGTGGAAAGTTTTTCGCGCGGCAGCTGCATCCTAACTTTCTGATCCGTCGCTTATCGATAACGCTCGGACGTGTAATACGACGCGGCGCAATTTAGTTGCAGTTAGCTGTCGATTATCGCTATCGAAAACACATTCCCTTGCACTGTGAGCTCTCTTTTTTCCCGATCCTTTTATATTTCATATGGTACAGAAGTCGATGATTTTGCAGGTCTTTCGGAACACTTTCACCGCACTTTACACTGTCTACGATGTCACGAATGAGTAAGTGTTTTAAATAATCAAAATATAAAAGTGCAATTTTGATCAATATATATAAATATAATTATATATAAATGTATAAATTATATATATAAATATAATTATATAAATTTACTACACAAAAATAATTAAAAAAATATTAATTTATGACTTTTCGTTCTCCCTTTCTTTTTCTAACTTATTTGAATCTTTTTATTACTATTGTCCGCACTGAATACGTCTCTAAAAATATATTTGTATAAAAAAACACAATTAAAGTCACTAAATATAACTTACATCATACATTCGACTTTATAATCTTTTTTATTTGCCAGCCATCATACACCCCTTCGCCTCCAAGCATCGCGACACATGCATCAGACGCGATTGCAACATGCCACTTGGTTGGGCAACACGTCCAATCTCCTGATGATCTCCGAGAACGACATTTTTCTTAGATTGGGGCCCGCCGCGACGGAGGACTTTCGCTTGACCGACACGGGCGTACCTGGGATAATCTACAACGGCGTGCCCGACTGGTTGTATCAGGAGGAAGTGCTGCCGAGACCGCAAGCGATCTGGCCGAGCCCAGACGGCACGCATATCCTCTATGCCACGTTCAACGACACCAGAGTGAGCGCGTTGGAGTTCCCTTGGTTCAATATGCCGGGTCAAGACGGAGCCGTTCCGAATCCCCAGAGCGCGTCCAAATCCTTTCCACCTTCCAGATCGGTCAGATACCCGAGACCGGGTTGGCCGAATCCGGAGGTCGAACTATGGATCATGGAACTTGGGAACTTAAGCTCGGCAAATAACAACAACAGTACTGGGAACGTCACGGAGCCAACGAAAAAGAAACTGAAACCGCCGCCGTTCTTGGACGAACAGTACGTCAAATTACTGAAGAATTCTTTTGTTCTAATTGCGAAATAATAATTCCTAAAGAATATATACTTAGTATTAGAAGATTGAACAACGACATAGGATATTGCTTCGCTCGTTCATGATCCGATATTATAACGAAATTCATTTTCGCGGATATTTTCAGAGATTATTATCTGATATCGGCCGACTGGGTTGGCGACGACGCTTCGCAGATCGCCGTCGTTTGGATGACGAGGATGCAGAACCTGTCTATGGTGTCGGCTTGCCGCGCTCCCATGTGGGAATGTGAGGAGACTCATTCGGAACGAGCACCCGAAGGACTGTGGCTGGATGCTCAACCGCATCCTCTCTTCGCTCCGGACGGCGACAGCTTTCTGCTGTTGGCCACGGTGCAGGAAGGTGACAAGGAGCATTTCACGCATATAAAGCACATCACGCTAAAAAAACAAAGAATAGCGGTGCTCTCCCATGGTCGTTACGAGGTGAGCGGCTTTTAGGATCGGAATAACGTGAGTTATAAAGCGCACTTTAGACGATAATTTGCATCAAAATTTAGAATAGAGCTTTATTTATTATTTTATATGCCATACAACATAAAAAATGTTTCAAGATACGTTTATCAAAATATATGACATATAAAACTGTAAATTGAATTTTATTCTGAAATCTAATCACGAATTATTGTAGACTTATAAGGAATAATAAGAGATATAATAGTTATTTGTGTAACAAGTGTCGTAAGATGAAAATTCCCGGGTGCGTAAACTCCGCACCCGGGAATTTTCATCTTTACACACGACTTACACTCCCTATTTTATGTTGCAAGTGCCTGGAAAGTGGTCTATCACGCACGCGTAGCGTGCGTAATGGGGCACTTTTCATGCACGTGTTGCATAAAATATATAGAATTAAATGTAATATAATGGTTAGAAATATAATATAATATAAAAAATATACTCTAAGAAATAACGTACAAATAAAATAAAATTTAATCGCGTGAGTGCTTTCTGAACAGGTGAGCGAGATCTTGGCGTGGGACACTAAGGCGCATCTCGTGTACTATCTGGGCACTAGAGAGAAGAAACCTGGCCAGAGACATCTCTACGTGGTACGCGATCCCGCCGCGGACGATCCCCGTCACTTCGAACCGTTGTGCGTGACATGTGATCTTGGAGACGTTCTTTGGAGCAGTAGGCAAGTCTTATGAAAAAGAAAGATAGATGAACCGATGTAATCGATTCTCAGTCGTGCAAAATTAACAAGCGAATTTATTGGACGTTGCAGGTTCTATTATACGAATTGCACACATTTCGGTGCTTCGGTCAGTCCGTCGATAGACAACGACACGCAGGGTTACTACGTACTGCACTGCGAAGGTCCCGGCCTTCCTCTCGCCGGCGTGCACATGATGTCGACGCATAAGATGATTCGCGTGCTGTACGACACAAGACTACAACGGGCGGACAAATTGTCAGAGCTGGCACTGCCTACCAAGCGAAACTTCGAGGTGGATATTTAATATTGCCCCGATTCCATCTCAATCTCGATGAACTTTATACAAATGGTACAACTCGAAATGATTGACAGGTGCCGCTATCTCAAGGTTGGCGGGCTCAAGTGCAACTGCTATTGCCTCCTTCGTGGCGGGAAGAGCTCAGGGACGCGGCGTTTCCCGTGCTCGTCGAGGTGAACGGCCGTCCCGGCAGCGAGGCCGTCACCGACAAGTTCCAGATGGATTGGGGAACGTACATGTCGAGTCACAACGACGTGGTCTATGTGAGATTGGACGTACGCGGCGCCCGTGGTCAGGGAAAGAAGGATATATTCAGGAAGATAGGCGGCGTCGAGGTACAGGATCAGCTCACTGTGCTACGACAGCTTTTGAAAACGCACAAGTATCTCGACGTCACCAGAGTCGGCGTATGGGGATGGGGTTACGGTGGATACGTGACCGCTATGGTCCTCGGTAGCCAGGAAAATGTTTTCAAGTGCGGCGTCGCGGTGAATCCAATCGCCGATTGGATGTATTATAGTAAGCATATAAATTTTGCAAAAATGCGTCTCGCCTAATTTTTCCTTCTGCTCGATATACCTCGTTGACATTACTAATAAATCGGTTCCCTTAATTGCAGATTCCGCGTTTACGGAACGAGTCCTCGGTGCCCCAGTTGAGAACTACAAGGGCTACGTGGAGGCTGATCTTACGCAACGGGCGAGATTGGTACCCAGTGGCAGCCTTTATCTTCTTCATGGCCTAGCCGACCTTACAGCGCCTTACACGCACGGCATTGCCTTCGCCAAGGCTTTGTCCGAAGCGGGAGTCATCTTTAGATATCAGGTAAGACTGGTAAGAGAACGAGAAACGAACGACGCAGATGCGTCCAAGAATACTCGAGCTAATTGTCGCTTCCTTTTTCGAAAAAGAGTTACGCGAACGAAGATCACGCCCTGAGGGGTGTGCTCGACCACGTTTATCGTTCCATGGAGGACTTCCTCGCCGAGTGCCTCGCCCTGGATCCCTCCTAGTGCCTCAAGCCGAAGAACCCTTTGTTGTCTCTAGTGCGTCTAATTCCGATACATCCAGAACGGACGTTAATACGGAGACTCGTCCTCGAAGTCACGGCAATTACACTCGTAAACGGGATGATTTCCTCGTTTAGAGCCTGAATCGCGATATAAATCAGACCGTTGGTTAGGAAGAGAGCGAGAACAATCGTTTATTCGAAAAAAATGAAGAAAAGAAGAAACGCCGTTTGACGTGCGTATGTACGAGTTTATACGACAAAGAGACGAAGATTGACAGAAAGAATTGAAAACATGAGAGTCAAGTGACATTCATAGCAATATCGTTATAACGTATTCATTTGCCTAAAGATTCCTTTACTACGAGGAAACCACTCATTTTTCTCTCTGGAAGCGCACCTAGCGATGCTTAACATCGCCAGACCGCGAGAGAATCTAGAAATCACGAAGGATATCCGATGAAAACGAGGAGCGAGACGGAATCGCCTTGACGGAATTTTTGTACATTATCGAACAACGCCGCTCGCGTTTCCTGCGCAAATTTAACATCTTCGATAGTTCCATAATCAGTCATCGTAAATTTTCACCGAACAGCGCGAGCGACTTGTTCGACAATGACGCACATGTCGCGAAAGTACTGAAGGGACAAACGCGCGTACATGCCATGAAATCGATATCGGGCGAGTTTCAAGAAACGAACAAAGAGAAGACGAGGCGCATGTTCGAAGGCGCAGACCGAATTACTATTACATGCGGAGCTTATCGACGGCTTGCAAAAATTCGCGTCGTTCGCGTAGCGCCATCGGGACAACGTTGTGAAATCGACGCCGAGTGTTTGCGAGCTCGTCATTAACGTCTTGCTGTGTTCCAAGTCCCAAAGGCGCTCACATAGGAAAGGCCTGAGATTTCGTAGCGAGCGACTAAAGGCGAGATTAATACGGATTATATAACACTTCAACGTACAGAGCTTATCGGGAGTCTGCAAACTTGCACTTTTCTTTATTTCCCACTTTCCAGACGGAATTGATCGAATCACGGTGCTCGAATAAGTGGAATATATATATCTCGGTACGGGGGACCCCGGCTCTGCGGACCGCGATCGACGCTTTACGGCGGTATTGAGGATCCCCAGATCTAAGATCTCTCGAATCGAGTTGCGCAAAAGAAAGAGTTTGCAAGCTTCCGTCTCATACGTTCTCCTTTTTTTTCTAGCTACGTCACTGGTGCCTCCCCGATTTTAAACGGAGAAAAAGTATCTACGCCTATGCGGTGACGTTCGTCCACAGGCATCGACGTATATTTACTATTATATATAGAATCCGGACGGCTACTGTGAGTTTTGTGTTGTACAGCTTGGCGCCTAGTTCTATGTATCATAATTGTTACACGCGTAAGAAGTTGTTCCACACAGATCCTTAGTACCCCCATCTCTCGACCCGCCCCTCCCCCTTCTCCCTAACCGTTTGAATTTTGAATATTTGTACATATATATACACCCAGAAGAGAGAAATGTGGAGCTCCTTCGACGAGGCTCCGCGCCGATGCTTGCAGAAATTGTAAGTGATTCATAGATAAAAAGGAGCGATATCACTTGTTTTTAAATAATCGATTTTCGACAAGATTTACGAAAATATGCTTGTCGGAGCACACGTGAGAACGCGGATCTCGTCGAAGGTGCGGGTATCAGACTCATTGTATACCTCTTCGAACTACATCGATCGATCCCGAATGGATGAACGACTACACTAAACAGACGATATACTTACAATCGTCAGGACTAGCTGTCGATCATCGATCAGGCGCGATCGGCATACGACGTTGAGGCTCCCGAGTACTTGCTTGCTTATGCTGTACTTTCAGGTGGAACAGTGGAAGACAAGATATGGCGAGACATCGTACGCTTATTGTCACATATAACTGATTTCGCTGCTCCACTATTGTAAAAGCGAACGCTCGGAAACCTTATGAACGCGACGTCGTTGAAGAACAACAGAGCTCGTAAACGTCTCGGAAATATCTGCGGCAGTGTCGACGTTTTTGTGATACGTTTTATACAGCTTTCAAAAATCGAAAGCTGAAAACTTCGAGAATCATTGCCTTACAATTCATTTGCGTTATAGGCTTAGATATTCTCTGTATATATCTTTACGAGTCTTTTAATTTATAACTAATATATGACTTAATTTACTGTTGATTTATTTAAGCTTAATTCTAGTAAATATTAGAATATTTATAGACAGTTTTACCATAAACTGAGACAAAATACTTATAATATGAGACAAATTATCTCAATTGGATTACAGCTTTTTAATTAACGAACGTAAAATGATTTTGTTATAAAAATATTATTAAATCGCAGATAACGTTCGAGACTATATGTCAATATAATTTCTATTTCGAAAATAAGATAATTTACGAGCCTGAATGTTAATTACAAAAGAGGCGCGCTCAGACGAGGAAGTGGCGCACGTCGCCATGTGTATGCTGCATATATACCAGCAGCCCTTAAATGCCGACAATCAAGGCTAGTGCAACTAATCAAACGATAATAAATAGAAACGGAGAGAAGAGAAAATTACTTAATAATTTTAATGAATACTCGTGAATGATCGCTACGGTTCGGGCGTATTGTAAACTGCTACGAAGTATCTTCAAACTGTCGCGACCGAGAAGACTTTTCGAGAGCGATTTTTGCGAGGATAAAAGTATTATAGAATATGCGAAGGGTCGTTAGGTCGAGATGATGTGCCCGCTGTCGACTGTAGAAAGTACAAAGATGTAACGCGTAATGGAGGCTTCGAAAAATTATCCGTTGAATGGATTTAGCCTTAGAAAGGATTTGCTCCAATCTTCTTTCGCTATCTTTCGATGTTAAACATTGAAAATTATACAGTGTAATGAATCTTCCGATGAAATTAACGTGCAACGTACAATGCGCAACAAACGTTAGGTTTAACCGCGAATTCCTCCATTTCGCGATAAATGAATGGTCGTTTGTAGTGAAACAAAATGTTCGTTGTCAACAATATCGCTTCCAATTATTCCCGAATAAATATAACGCGAGCGATCGAAACGCGAATGGTTCGATCCCAAGAAGCGGCAGAGAGAGTGACTGATCGATCGATTGGAATCGGAAATGCGAGAGAGCCATAGGGAGGAAAAGAGATGGGGAGGGGGAAAAAAGAGTAATAATGGTAGAGCGAATGAGAGTGAGAGAATGTATGCGTGTGTAAATCACAATCAATTATTAAATATAATAACGGCAGAAAGTGAGGCAAATCGTTAAACGTAAGCATAGGGCATCGGAAAAAAAAATTATTACGAAGGCAGGCACGCAACACAAGCATGCGAATTATGAAATTAATCGCAACAAAGAAACCTTGGTAGCAGCGCATAAGGGTATCTATAGCTTTTGGTAACGTATTATTGCCGCTAAAAAAAAAAACGTAAAAGACAATGAAAAATACACTCGTATGGGCATACATAAAGATACACGCAAATACACACATATACACGCAATATATTAAAAGAAACTGATAACTTTCTCACGCGAAAGTCAATATAAGGATTAGGCCCGTGCGAACGCATGAATAAATTAAAACGAATTAAGGACACTCGTCGCATAGTCAATCGATCGGAACGATCGTCAAACAAAACGCGTTAATTAAACCCGGTAGTTTAGATTTTTAAAAGTATGTTACACATACACATACACACACACACATATATATTCACTGATTTTTCACAGAAAAAATAAATTTACGATATTTTATCTATAAGAATCTGTGATGTTTGTTAAAAAAAATATAAAATTCAAATAATTCACCAATTTTTTGGTCTCTTTTTCTTCATATTTGAAGAGGATAAACAAAAAATTAAAAAAATTTTTTGAATCGTTTGACGATCAATGACAGCTAGCGACAAAGAGACTACAAATTGACTTCTTGAAGATAAGCGACGCTTTTTTTCAACGATTTGTAGCTCCAAACGTGTCTGTGCCCGCTCGGTGTGTTCGGCAGAGAGAAAGAGAGTTTCGATAGATTGTTTTTTATATCCATTTCATCGAAATGCTCGACACACATTCCATGAGAGCCATTGATGTCGTTCGAGCTGCTCGATCGATACTCGCCTTCGATTCATAACGCGGAACGGGCACGGAAAGTTATTTCTACTCAATTTTTGGCGATATTCGCACGGACCTGCACCGGAAACATCCACGAAATCGGTCAATCAATGGCTTGTACTGACGGTAATGTCGAAAAAAGTAAGCAATGAACCTCCAGGAGCTATAATGCAAGTTGGAAATTGTACTTTTGATTTTTTAAGAATATTTTTTATCAGAAAAAAAGGTAACTTTTCTTAAACTGTTTCAAAGAGACTTACCGCTGAATTTGCACGCTTAATAAAAATCAGAAATATTATTTCAAAATTTTAAATATTTTGCAAAGTCTATTTGTGATTTTATTTCAATCATCATAATTTATTAAAATTTATTCAAAAATATTTCAAATCCTTTTTTGCAAATTGACAGATTGACAAGAGATTTTTTGCAAATTGACAGATTGACTTGGATATCAAACTCGATAAAATTTTCCAAAGCAAATGCAGTCAACTTCGTTTGTGATTCATAACGTGGCGCCCGCCGATTTCGTGAATGTCGTCCAAGTTACCTTTCACGTAACATCCACGAAATAATCATGTTATTAAGATTCTGCGTTTTTTAATATCAGCGGAGCTCGGCCCGGACATCGGGCGGATAAAGTGTTTTCAATAAACTGTTACATTATCTGAAGTATTCTTAATTCTTCCTCAACATTGCATCTTTGACAGACGACGTTTGACAGCGTATAATAATTAAGACATCCAGACTTTACAACAAGTTTAAAAAATTATGATTTCTCGTCAAACGAGAAAAAGAAAACGTTCGATTTCCTCAGATAATTTAAAGCAGTGTTCGGAGAATCGGTAAATATAATTTCATTGAAATATATCTTCTCTCTATAGTGCGCGTTATTTGAAAAATTGTCGAGACTTTATATTCAAGGTTGCACAAACATCCATACGAGACACGTTCGAAAAGTCTTCGTGATATAGGAACTACAACAGACCCGATTGAATCTCCCATCCCATCGAGACGGTCGTCCGACAGCAGTGTTATATATCTAGGCTCGTTTCATAAAAGTCCGCAACTTATAACGTTGGAGGATAGTAACGATAGCTTCTCCGAAAGGGTTGTTCAACCGGAAGCATGGGTCACACAAAAACGAGAAGTTATTTGAAGTAATGATTTACATTTTATTTACATTTTACATTATTATTTCATTATTATTTATATTTACATTTTATAAAAATATTAACTAAAATTCTTTTTTCTTCATATTTCCTTTGATTGAGAACGTGATGACAATTATATAGAATTAATAATTCCAACTACTTTTCTAAAACAATTTTTCAAAAATCTTATCAAATATATTACGCTTTAAATATAATCCTGGCCATCTATTTTGTAAGATAAATACGTCGCAGTAAAAAAGTTCTTTGCAAAAGAGGACACCGCCTCTATTTCTGCCTTGCCCTTACGCAATATACTCAGTTGTTTCGATATAGCTTCGTTTACGTAACTCCGGGCTTCGATGGATCTCAATCTTACAAGATCAGCGTTGGTGAGCGGAATTGTTTTCGCTCCTAAAGTAATCAGTTCCGAGGGATGGATTCCGAGCCAACGCGCATTAGGACAAGCCAGGGTCTCGTTTTCTTTACGAAGAGTCGACGAGCCGAAGCTGCGGAAACCCAGTATAATAGAAACATAAAAATGGAATATTTCCCGCACAAAAATTAAATTAGCATTGTGATTGAAAAATCATGTAAATTACGATATTCTTAACTTTTGTATTATACTTAACATACTTAACTATTTGTATGATAAAACGTTAAAATTAGAAAATTTATATTCTCTTTTTTTATACATTGAAAAAAAACTGATGAAGAATAACAAAGCAATTTCGACTAAATTACCGATAAATTAACATGATGTCTACGCCAAAAGGATCCGGGTCTACGACTATATAAACCGGTAAGTCCATCTTCTCGGATAGCATTTTGACCAGCATCCTCGTAGCTACGTCCGGATAGCCCTTTCCCGTCACTAGAATGCATCCTAGAGCGCGAGTGCAGTTTTCCTCGAGCAATTTTTGAAAGACCGCGTCCTTCTCAATGACCAAGACGAAATCGGCTTTCAGACGAATGGAAGTTACGTTCGAAATAATCTGCGGAATCTGCGCGCCACCCGATATCGTACAATCAATGACTTGATTGTCGACTAGTGTGATGGTCATATTTCCTGCCACCAATCCTTTAGCCGTTGCCAGCAGTCCTGGAAGGACTTCTAGTTATCGATTTTTGTCTCATATTCTTCATTTTTTCATATTTATTATTATATCGCTTCAATGTAATTTTTAATTTATATATATATATATAT